CACAAATTCCCCAGCTGTGAGCCTTCCAACCTTCTAAGTATTCCTTTATATGTGGTTCAGAGTTCTGGGTCCATTCCCTGAGCCTGCTTGGCCAGGTATTTTGTGTTGTTGTTGGCGGAGCTCTCTGCTACACATCCACCCAATCCGCCACCTTGTTTGTTCCCCCCTGGCCTTGTTTTGACTGATGATATGGAACTTTTCCATCATCTCTTTCCACAGATGTAGTCTATTTGATTTCTGGTGAGGTCCATGTGTACAATTTCCTTCTGTGACAATGAGCTTACAGACCCAAAAGAAGTCACAAAATGGAGGTCCATCTAGAGAACAATTAGGACACAGAACATTTGCGATCACCTTGCACTACATATCCATGGTCTCTCCTCCATGATTTCCTCCCATTGTAAAGAATATTACATTTCTCTACCTATACTGCTTCCATTGCTTTTAGAATGGGTTCTCAAATACAAAGGTAGGGAGTCATCAGGAAACCCAGTGTGATTTGATATTCTTAGCACTAATGGTGATGAGGAGCCGAGATGGGCAGTAACGCAATGTTTGAGGCAGAGGGGATTTCAGGGCAATGGCTCCTTCTTTGACCTGCTTTTTGGGTGATTTTAGGATTGTTCAAAAATCACTTTGATGACTACAACCTAAGTCTCCTGATGCTACTTTTTACTCTAATATGAGATCAAATTCTGAGGTTGGTTTTTAGCTGATACTTTGATTCTATGAGCTGCCCCAATACTTTCTAATGAAATTCAATGTTTCCTTGCAATGAAAAATACTCTAAGTGATTCAGTTATGCTCCAAACCAGTCTTAAGAGTGGGATTTGTGGATTTATATGCTTTAATACTGGCAACAACCCTTGAAGTGGGCAATTGCTCTAACATATTGAAGGATAATGAAAATGCTTAACAATAATGCACTAAGTGCATTGTAATGATATTTTTTGGGATTTTCACAATTTATTTTAAATTAAAAAGTACCCCAATAATGGAGCTGTTATGAAAACTTCCCTGTTCTTGTCAAGCAGTAGGTAATTTGGGTCCCTTCTACCAAAACATTTATTCTCAGACAAGATGGTACAAGGATTTAGAGTTGACCAGATGTCAGCAAGCTCCTGAAACTACATCTTATCCTTTATCCATTTGGTTTTCATCTGATCCTTTGATTATTTGAGCTGCCCAATTGTCTACTAATGAATTCCAAAGCTTGCTTACAACCAAAAAACCCTAACATATTCAGCTATGTTACAAAGTCAGTGTTAAGAGTATAGTCTATTGATTCTTTGTATAACTGTGACAATAACCTTTGAAGCAAGTACTTTCATATCCTCAACCTCATTTTAGAGCTGAAAAAGTGAACAACCAAAGAATTTGTCCAATGTCAAATGGTCAGTAAGAGGCAGAGTTAGGATTCAAAGCCCAGGTTTATGTCTGATGGAAATCTGTGCTTTTAACTATTACACTATATTCTAGACTTTGTCCAGGTTGGAGTGCATTGATATTTTTTTAACCAGCCACAATCTATGTAGGGAAAATGGTCCACATCACAATATGAGGCTAGGTCTCAATATAGCCAAAGAACTGAAAACAGTACAAGACCGTGAAGAATCTCCAGGAAACCGGAGAAGGGCTGTCATTGTTGTCTGGTCACAAGATCATAGGAATAGCATTGGCAGGAAAAGACCTGATTAACTCTGTGTCAGACAAGCAAAAGGACAGAGTACTGGGTAGGATTTGTGTTGGGCCGTCACTTCTCTGTGAGACCCAGGAAAACAGTAAAGACACAGCTGCAACAATCAGAACACAAAAATATGTTGTTAAGCTTTGTCTCAGCAAGACTCCTGAGGTCAGTGAGAACTCAGACCATATAACTACTAAAAGCTTTCTAACCAATACATCCTGTGAGGCTTTGGGACAAATTCAGATCTTCTTAGAAGCCTTCAGTATGTGGAAAGAACCATATTATTCAAAAATATTAGACACAAGATCTGTTGTATTTTGAACCTGAGAGATGGATCCTCAACCATTAAAGGGATTGTTCCTCCTCCAACAGAGATTATGTGATTTATTCAGAACCCTATTTTATAGGCCCAGAGTATCAGATCTTGGAAACAGATTCAGATATGTAGTACTAGAGAGAGGTCCAAGTGTCCTAAAGTAAAAATAGACTTGATATACTTTGAACTTCAAAACCAGGGGAGATCATGTTAACTAGAGATACCTCTTTGTAGCTGAACCGGTGTCAGAAGATAATTCCATCGAGGAATGTTGTTGTTGTTAAGTGCCATGAGTTGGTTCTGACTCATAGCGACCCTGGGTAGGGTTTCCAAGGAATGGCTGGTGAATTTGAACCACTGACCTTGTGGTTCAAACCATCTTTGCGGTCGAGTGTTTATCCTACAGCGCCATGTTGTTGTTGTTGTTGTTAAGTGCCATTGAGTCGGGTCCGACCCATACAGGACCGAAATTGTTCATGTTGTTATAAGAGTACTACATATTCCTTATAGAGATATTAGAAAAGAGATCAACAAAACCACTGCAGTAGAGTCAATTCCTATTGCTAGTGACCGTATAGAACAAAGCAGAACTGCTCCCTAGGGTTTCCAAGGCTATAAACTTTTATGGAAGAGGACTGCCTCGTCTTTCTCCCATAGAGCAGCTAGCAGGTTCAAACCACTGACCTTTCACTTAGCAGCCCACCACTTAACCCACTGTGCCACCAAGGCCCCTTAGAAAAGGGATAATCAAAAGAAAACAAAAATTAGTCATTAGTCTGCCATCTGGAGTCATCTGCTATAAATATTTTTTTTTGTATCCTTCGAGGCATTTTTCTAAATATTTTCCTTTAAAATGGTGTCTAATGTGCATAGTTTTGCTATCTGCTTCTCTAATATTAAAATGTAACCAAAACATCTCTTCACATCAATAAATGTTATTCTATAACATGAGTTTGATGGCTGTCCTGGTGTGGTGCTGTAGGATAAGCACTGGGCCACAAGGTCAATCAGTTTGAAGTATAAAATCAGCAATTCAAAACTTACCAGCCGCTCCTTGGAAATCTTATACAAGGATGCTATGAGTTAGAACTGACTTGACGGCACTTAACAACAACAATAATAATTCACTATACAGTTACTTCCCTTCCCATTTAGACAAATAGGTTGTACCAGATTTTTGCTCTAATAACCAAGCCTGCAAAATTTTACATTGCTGCTAAATATTTGTATGTTATTATTTTCTTAAACTAAATCCCTATTAATGTAATTATTAGCCCAAAAGCTATGTAACATTTGAGGTTCTTTAGATAGATAGATAGATAGATAGATAGATAGATAGATAGATAGATAGACAGACAGATAGATATAGCTATAGAGACAGAGATATTGCTAACCCATCAGCTAAAAAGTTTGTACCAATTTACACTCTAATCAGCAGTAGATGAGGGAGCCCATTTGGAGGTATCTTTTCCATTAGTAGATTTTTGGGCATCGGTTACTTTATAAAAGCAACCACAGTCCTGAAAAGCAACATTATTTTTCTGCCAAATAGTGTTTTTGAATCAACAGACCACTTAATTTCTATCCTTGTGCCTGCTGTAGCTCTTCCACCTACTGATGTCTTGAGAAAGAAAAAAGTAAGGAGGAACTGAAATGAAGAGGAAAAACATACAAATTTTCTTATCTCTGCAGACACTGAAGAGGCCGGTGCTCCAGTCCCCGCTTCTCTGAACAATTGCAGTGATGGTGGTCCTGGCCCTGGCTCCCCGGACAGGCTGCTTCACCACAGCATGGGCTTGGCTCCTGGAAGTCAAGGTTGGTGATTAACTCAGAAATAAAGAAGGTAGTTCAAAGGATAACCATTAAGTCTAGAGAAAGTGATAAAGGGTAGTAGATAGGAGTCCAGTAGTGCCAAGCAACCTTGCTGTAAATTCATAGCCCAAGCTGACCTCCTTCACAGCACTCCAATCTCCTTCAGCAAGCCTTCTTCGCTGACTTTTTGTCCCATCAGTCCAAATCCTGCCTAGCAAACTTAATGTTCAGTCTACTTCCTCCATGTTTTTCAGTGTCTCAGAATAGTTAAGGTTATAAATTTGGCACCAGAAGCTTTCGGTTCAAATCCCAGCATGTCACTTCCTGGACATTGACCCTAGTTAATTCTATTAGTCTCACTGTATTTCCATTTATTCAAATGTAAGATGGAAGAAAACAAAAAATCTCTATATCATAGGATTATTATGACAATTAAAGGGCATTTAACTAATTTGCTATGCTCAGAAAGTATGTAATACATTAACCCTGGGTGAAATTATACCTAAGGTTTTTTGAACCTTTCTTGAAAACAGACTGATAAGGAACTGGACTGAGCATGGAACATTACAACCTGAAATAGGCAGTGAAGTTGAACATGCACATGCAGTATTATTTAAGTGAATAACCAGATTTCAGAATATGTCCTAAAGTCAAACTACTGTTTGATTATCCTAGTGGGGCCACCAGGTATGCCTTTGGGTTGAGTTCCTTGTAGGGAAGGAATATTCCCACTCCCAATCATGCCTAATTAAGAAATGAGGACTCAGTAATTGTCATCATGACTGCAATCGTCACAACTGTAAAGGTAGAAGTTTTGTAATGAAAAGGGGGGAGTAGTTAATCTCACAGATGAGGAACAGAGGACCCTAGGACCATCAAGATGGAGACAGAGATGATGACATGGAGAGATAGAGCAGCTGAGGGCTCCAGACTCATGGAAAGAGAAAGGCTGTGTTATGGCAGCCAGGAGGCAGGCTCACAGAATGTGCCTTTGGTTTTTCAAATGATTATATATTCCTGAGTGTTTTTGTATACATCCAAAAACAAAAAACTGAGAAGAAAAAATATGCTGGATTTTTCTTTTTAAAATGAAAAGAAACTCCAGGAGACATCAAGGCAAGAAGTCAGGCCCCCTCAGGGCAAACTGCCTCCCAAGACTAAGACATTGAGAATACACAAGCAGATGTACGCTCTGACTAGTGACCACATTGGACACTGATAAGGGGAAGTGAGGGAAAAACAGCAATGAAGCTGTGAGTTAAGTCCTACCACGTTCAATAGATTCCTGTGAACACAGGTGGAGACCTAGTTGGCCAGCAATGTGGCAAGACCTGGGGACTCCTGGGCCCAGAGTCAATGACATAGCCACAAAAGACTAGAGTGGAGAATGAAGCATCCAGCTGATAAGAAGAGAAGGCATATGAACAAGAACACCCACACTTGCAAATAATACCCACTTGACCTCGCTTCAATGGCTGGATGATCAGAGCTCAATTAGAAGAACAACAAAGAGGAAAAAAAGAGTAATCTGATACAATTTGATGAACTAGCTCAAAAGAGGGAACAAATCTTTACAGCGAGGATCATTCCCACTCCCCTCAATACACAGGGTAGACAGGGATGGGCAACTTGGACATTGGCTACCCAAAATTTGGGGGGGTGGGCTACAAAGGCAAGAAGTGACTGGTTTACAAGCTTTCAAGAGGGAGCCTAGATCCAGACATGCAGAGGAAGGTAGAATCTCCACTGAATAGTATCCAATCTGTCTGGGCAGGGCTGATGAAAGGAGACGGGGATAGGACTCTTGTGGTACAATAGTGAATAATTACCATCAAGACTGACTGTGAGGGTTGGAAATGTAAAGGTAGGCGTTTTGTAGCAAAATGAGGGGAGTGGTTGACTTTGCAGTCCAGGAGCAGAGGTCCCTGGGACAATCAAGGGAGAAGAGTGGAGTGCGGGACCCCACCCAGAGAAACAGTGACACCAGAGTTGGAGGCAGAGATGATGACGTGGAGAGATGGAGTGGCTGGGGACTCTAGACCCAGAAAGGGAGAGGGGCTGTGTGCTGACAACCAGAGGCAGACTTGTGGGGTATACCCTTTGGTTGGTTGATGATGCACGGAGGGGATTGTAACCATGGCAATGAAACGATATACGATAGGATGAATGTAAAACTAATGTTCTCCCCTGTAAACTATCACATAATTCACAATAAAACAAAAATGAAAAGAAACTTTATTACATTGAGTAAAAAAAAGAAATGAGGACTCAGGAAATAGATTTCAAGGATGAGAGAAGAATAAGCTCTTTTCTTTCTGGATCTCTAGGTCAGTTTTGCCAGAATTCCAACCAGGAAGATGCCTGGAGTGATTCCCAAAGGGAAGGGTAAGCTTCACCTGCCATGTGAAAGATGCAGGTAAAGAGTGGGGTAGAGGGACCTTAGAATGAGTTGAGTCTGTGCAACAGTGATAATTATTCTGTGTTGTGTTTCCCTTTTGGAAACCTTCATTAGGAGTTTGTACTTAGTCTCTGGTGTACTAGGAGGAACCTACCTCATACTTGAGACACAGTAAACAAGAGGACAATAGCACTTCTTCCTGTATCCGCTGTTGTTGCAGTAATAATCACTTTGGGCTCACCTTGGCCTTAGAATATACCTGAGTTCTGGTAAAACAACACCTTAGGGACAACTTAGAAATAGTTCGGGAGCCCTTTGAGGACCTTCAATGTCTGAAAATAAAGCCAGTGGGATTTCATGGTATCCTCATATGAGTTGTATTGTTCTTGTTATTAAGAGCCTCTTTTTTCATCTCACCAAGAGCCCTAGTGTAGCACTGTAGGATAAGCACTGAATTACTAACCACAAGGTTGCCAGTTCAAATCCACCAGCCATTTTTGGAAACCATATTCAGGGTCGCCATGAGTCAGAATTGACAGTGAGGTACAACACAAAATAACAAATGTCACCCAATCTGTATGTACCTTGCCAAACATGATAGAATGTTATCAGATTCCTAAGTTTCACTCCAAAACAACTGCACAGGAGGTCTCTAGGGATGCTGTACAGAAATCGATTATAACACAGGTCCCAGGTCATTTTTGCAAATGTCCTGATGGCAGATACCAGAAAATTAGGCAACCACTGATTGTTATTACAGTAGCTTCTGAGTCTCCCACCAATTAGGTGGTAATGAGAAAGGAACAGAGATGACAAGGAAAACAGAAATAGATTGGGAAAGAGGAGGATGCTTGGAACATAACTGGTAAAAAGAACAAATGAGACATCAAGAAATAGCTGGAAACATTAGACCAGCATTTGGAAGACAAGCTCAGCTTGGGAGTCACATGTCTAAAACACAGAGTCACCTGTGAAGAGCTATGAAGCATTCCTAGACTTTTTGTTTTTTTTCTCAAATGTTTTATTGTGAATTGTGTGATAGTTTACATGGGAGAACATTAGTTTTACATTCATTCTATCATATATTGTCTCATTGCCATGGTTACAATCTCCTCCATGCAATCCTTCCCCAGTAA